CCATGCAGTTCAAAGCCAAGGAGCCATCACTGGGAATCCAGCCATAGCTCCCTCAAGGCGGAAAATCAACCTGGGATTTCTTGCTGCAGTTTGTAGCAGCTGGAGTGAATATGTAAGTTTTTTGGGTGGTAAAAACTGCAAGTACTAGAACATAAAATTTAACATTCATATAGTTATTTTAAACTGTTTTGCCACAGTCCAGTAAAAATATATTTTAGTAGAGTAATCAAAGCAATCTTTGTATGTGAAAAAGTTAATTTTCCTGGCTTTTATGCTAACAGATCTGTATAGATCGCAGCATCTGTCTCCCTGCCAGCTCCACTTCTCTATTTGAAGAAGCTGAGATCTCTGCTCCTGCTGAGCTGTTAGCATAAAATTAAATTCAAACATACATCTAAAGTTGTTTCACTCTACTAAAATATATTTTTTAGTGGATTGAGGTGAAATGTCAATTTTAATTTTCTGGTACTTGCGGTTTTTAACCACCTAAAAAACGGCAGATTCCCAGTGACGGGGGTCTGCCTGACAGATGACTATTGAGATGTACTTTTCCCCACTTGCTAATGAAGATTCTCAGTCATCCAGGTTATAGCCATTCCCAAAAAGTAAAAATAAAAAACCACTGGACATTGTTTTCCAAGTTTGAAGATGTTTTGGCTTAGAAAACATGTAAATTGAACTGAAAAAACAGGTCCACCTCTAAGTAATGGGGAATCGTTGAGGTCTTTGTTAGCCTACAATACCTGATAGTGGCCCATGACTCTGAAAACCGAGTCACTAGGGTCATTGTTGGCCTGGCTTACCAGGCGAGATGTTTTGGTCCCCTGCATGGCAATTAGGATTGAGATGATAGTGGGAAGGAATCAACTATCACTGTATTGTCGGTTTTTCTCTCAACATAAATGGATTCCTTTACATCTGTTTTCTTTGTCCAGAATGTTTACATTCTGGTCCTCAAATGAATGTCCTTAAGGTGTTGAACCATGCACTTGTGGAGAGGTTGTTTGGTTTCTCTAATATCAAGATCAGAGCATTCCTCACTCTGCTTATATTTGGTCGGGGGGTTTTGTCCTTAGGATGCACAAGCCTCTTCCTAAGGTCTTGTTAGGTTTGAAAGTTACTGGGATTTTCAGAGACTCCAGCAACATATGGGATGGTTATGTTTTAGCGTTTAATCTTCTCACCGTTATGTTCTGCTGCTTGCTTTTTGGATATCCACAGGTTTGAAGAGCATCTTTGAGCTTCCCTTCTGTTTTAGTAGGGACATGCTCGGCCCGGTGTTGTAAGGTTCTGATGACTGGAAGTTTGCGTTCCAGTGGGTGGTGTGAGTCGATTTCCTTTAATCTTCAATGTTTAGGTTTCCATCTCCTTCCATGCTCACCAAAAAGTCCAGAAATGGTAGCTTGTTGCCGTGGTCAACTGAGTTGATGTGTCTTGTGAAAGCTTCTACTTCCTTTAGCTGGATTTTAACAAATGTATGATCCACATATTTAAACCAATGGCTTGGTGGTGTTCCTCTGAAAGTGTCCAAAGCTCTCTTTTCCATTTCTTCCATTTAAAGATTGGCTACAATTGTTGACACAGGACATTCCATGGCACAACCATGCTTCTGTCTGTTAAAATGATCCTTAAACTTGAAACAGGTTTCGGAAAGACAAAGGTCCAGAGTGAAATTAGTCCTGTTGTTTAGGTCACTAGCTGTTCATCTTATTTTAGATCATATCCATGGTAAGAAACACCACTCAGACCCTTTTTCAGCAGCATCAACTGAGTAACATATAACATTGCTAAACAACTTAATATTTTAGCCCCCCTTGGTGGGAAACGCATCACATAGAAAACTCCAAAGACTTTGCAAATAAAGTCAAACATTTAAAGAAGAAACCCTGGTGTCTTCTTACATACCTTTATCAGAGGCAGTATATAGTCAGGAAATGTCTACAACAGGACTAATTTCACTCTGACCAGATCCCTACTGTACTCGACCTTTGTCTTTCCACCACCTATTTCAAGTTCAGGGATCATTTTAAAATACAGAAGCATGGTTATGCCATGGGATCTCCCGTGTCATCAATAGTAGCCAACCTTTACATAGAAGAAATGGAAAAGAGAGCTTTGGATGCTTTCAGAGGAACACCACTAAGCCATTGGTTTAAATATGTGGATGACACATTCAACAAAATGGAAGCTTTCACAAGCTACCTTTTCTGGACTGTTTGGTGAGCATGGAAGGGGATGGAAATCCACTCACACAGACCAATACCTTCTTTTTGACCCACTGGCATGCAAACTTTCAGTCATCAGAACCTTACAACACCGGGCCGAGCATGTCCCTACTAAAACAGAAGGGAAACACATCAAAGATGCCCTTCAAATCAGCAATGGAATCCAAAAAACACAGCAGAACATTGGAAGATCAAACGCAAAAACATAATCACATATGTTGCTGGAGTGTCTGAAAAACACTCCAAGATTTTCTCTAACCAAGACCCTTAGACGCTAGTGCATCCTAAAAACAAAACCCACAGATGGACTACCTCCGCTGGACAAGACTCTGTCCACCTACACCTTAAGGACAAAGTAGACAGTTGGTTTGAAATAAAAAAGTGAAATGTCTTTAAACCACTGGACTTTGTTTAACTCCGTTGACATTAAATAAGTCACTCTCTTCATTATATCTGATTTTGTTCTTAAACTGGCACTTAATGTATATGTACTTTACCTTTAGAAGACATGTCAATTAGTGGCTGTAAATCATTGTGAAAGGGAGGTGTCCTCCTTTCCTTTTAATTACCTGGGATTGAATGTTTCTTTTGTGCCACCAGCTCAAAGTCATATTTTTCCAATGCATTTGCAGGTAGTGTGGTTCATTTACGTAGTTAATCAGCAGCACATGGATCAGGCCTACACACACAGAAACAGTTGAGCTGGTGGCACAAAAAAATACACCATAGGGGTGTGGCCACGTTACCTGATTGTTAAGGCAGTAATGAGCTCTATGCCAAACTCCACCCAGCTTCTTTCATTACTGGACTAACTGATTCATCCGGGTGTGTCTGGCCCTCTCCTCATGGTTACAGAGGTCACGCTTACCTGGATTGATCAGTTCATCCATTAATGAAAGACAGGAAATAAAGGAGCTTGACATATAGTCCATTTATACCACACGGTCTCCTACAAATACTTTTAGGTAATTATTAAGAAAACTACTTGTGACTAAAATATAAATCTTACCTCGTAGGCAAGGGCGAAGGTCCCCCAGTGTATGGCGACAGACTGTTTAGCCTGAAGGTCCTGATGAATTTGAACAGCCTCCTCTGGATCCACATGCTGTCCCTGCATCACATCCCTGAAACACCAACAGGAATCCTGCTTAATATTCTGTTCGAAATAAAATGCTAAAACTGTACATGTACATGCAAGTTGTGTTTTTTAAAGTGACTTTACCTGGAATACAGAAATAATACGGTATGGCTAAAAATACTTTTTGCAGCAGCATAGGCTCACCAAGAAATAAAGTACTTCCTGAGAACCCAACGGTCCAACCATGATAGGCTCAGACTAAGAGAAGCTAACATTTTCTGGTCTTCCTGCAGATTTTTCTGTTATCAAAGATGATTATTTCCACTAAGATCATTTCTGACTGAGCTCTAACGCTTATAGTCATCATTATCTCCAGGGCTCTTACTAAATCCTGTTCTCAAGCTGCTGGTGCACATGACAGATCAACTGACTAGGATTGTGAAGCATTGCTTTGTGTTCAAAACAGTGTTAAGAAAATGGAATACATATTAATTTGGTGTTTTAAATAATCTCCATGCTCTACAATTCCTTCACAAGATGAAGTTGCCACTGATATTTTTGTTAACTTAATTCTCTTCCTTTTTTAGCGTTGGATTACTCTACTATGGAGGAGCAACTCTGCCATATTTAAAAATAAATACAGAAATAAACAAAAAACGCTCAATAAATAAGCATACAGTTAATTTCCCCCATAAATACAATAAATAAATGTAGGTAGAAATTAAATTATACAGTAAGACAAATGTAGATATTTCTTTATTCGCCTTTGTAACAATTACCTTATTTATTTAATAATGTATTTATGTGCATGTGATATTTTTGTCCATTTTATTCTTTATATTTCTGCCTCATTATGCAAATGAGGAAGGGCTGTGTTTTGTTCAACTTCTGCTCATTGGTTGGTTTGAATTTTACTGCATCGGTCAAATCTACAGGAGGAGATGAGAGTCTGAAGTCAGTGGCTGTTTCTCAATTAATAAGAACGCAACTATGGACTCATGTTCTCGCCAAGTATGTTCTTGAGAAGAACCCAGGAAAGTCTAGACTCTGGGAGAACAGGAGCACGCAGCATAGATCTGGGTCAATTTGAACAAAAGCGTGCTCGGCTCGTCTGAAGCTGCTTTTCTCCTCCTATTATTAATAGTCTCTCGATATTAATAAATTCTGACTTTTTTCATTTAGTAGGGGTATAATAATTAACACAGTCAGATAAACACATATCAAATGAAAATTTAGCCATCATAGCCAGCGGTCCTTCACACGAGGCTATGCCGAGAGAGGGCTGCTGCAGACCGGCTTGGATTAGGTCCTCTCAACTTCGGAAAATTTATTTTTTAAATTACGCATAAAATCGTTAAATGGGCCATAAAGTGACACTTAAAAGTATAATGTTCTTGCCTCAAATTATCTTAAAACATACTTTACAACAGCAAAAGAAAAGAGAACTTTTAACTTAATACTCTGAGCCGCCAACCAATGAGCAGAAGTTGACCCTCTAAGACAACAGCCTTTCCTCATTTGCATAAGGAGGCAGAAATAAATTGAGTTGAAAAAAAAAAAGAGGGTAAAAAAATACAAAGAATAAAACAGACAAAAATATATCATGCACATAAATACTTATACCAGACAATCAATAAATGGGGCAATTATTACAAAGGCAAATAAATAAAGAAGCTAATTAAAAGACATATATACATTTAGTTCTCACTGTATAATTTAATTTCTACCTACATGTATTAGTTTATTGTGTTTTTGGAGGCAATTAATTGTATACTTGTATTTATTTATTGAACATTTATTTATTTTTAGATATGGCAGAGTTGGTCCTCCATACTCTACTGCATAATAACATCAACAGAAAGTTTTGAAAAGGGGTTTATACATATTTTTCCACCTCTACACAAATTAAATTGCCTTATAGAAAAGAGTCTTTGAATAGATAACATTATGACCATAAGGTACATTAAAAAGCTACACCTCTTAATTTTTGATCTGCTGTATGCGACGGTGTGAATCTGTACCTGGGTCGGTATGCCCCAATTGGAATCGCTGCAAGGTCGAATGGCCCAAAGCGACGTCCGATCTCCTGGAAGGATGAGCAGTAGCCTGTGTCACCGGCGAAGAAAAACCGATGGTTGGGACCCAAAACAGACCAGCTTCCCCATAAAGACTGAAACACACAGTTAAAAGAAAAACAGATGAGTTACAGACTGCATAAAGTAAAAAATACTGGCAAAATTATTAGTTTTTCCAGATAATCTCCATTTCTGCTTATTTTCCAAACAGCAACCCCACAGTACTAAGATTATCACTGAAGTTTATAAAACAAAACTGATAACAATATAAATACTGTAACATTTCTTATCAAGTACCGTGTTATCATCCCACGCTGTCCGCTTGCTCCAGTGCTGAGAGGGTGTGCAGACAAATGTGACGTTGTCATGACCTGGGACGCAGTTCTCCTCCCACCAGTCAAGCTCCATCACGTTCTCACAGCCCATCTTGGTGAGCCAGTCCATCAAACCCAGAGGCACGAACCTGTTAAAACAGGCATCCTATTTTACAAGGTCTGGAGTGTTATATATACACAACCTCACAAAGACTGGAGAGAAAGGAGACAACGGTGGTTGAATCATTTGGGACACATACCAGCGTAGCTCTGCTCCAAAGCGTGCATTTAGGCTGCTAACAGATCCAGCATCCAGGTGATCATAATGAGAGTGGCTGATGACGACTGCATCTATCCTTGGCAGCTGTTTGTAGGACAGGAATGGGTCATACCAAACAAAGTCTGATATAAATTAGTTGGTTGGTTTGGACTAAAAAATAGAATAAAATCCTCAAACCTGTTCTACTGTGCAGGGGGGTCCTCTGTACCTTTTGGGCCCCATGAACTGGACTGGCGATGCTCTCTGGCTAAAAATCGGGTCTGTTAGAATATTAACCCCCTCCATTTCAACCAGAACTGTAGCGTGGCCCAGCCAGGTTACCCTCATACCAGCATGAGATTCCAACGCTTGTGGGTTTTGGACAAAGTAAGGCTCCATTACAGGGAGCTCACTGTCAAGAACCTGTGGGAACAGAGACCGATAACTGTCAACAGTGTTGAAAACAAGTTTATCTTTCATCCTGCAGGTTTGTGTTTTTGTCAGTGTCAATATCATAAAAGTGGGATTACCAAAAGCTGCTGCTGAATAATTGCACCACTAACTTGGCAAATAGGCACCTTACAGAAGCCTATATGTGATTAACCTTTGAAACTTTTGTCACACTAAAGCAAAATAAAGTCTGATGCTAAAAAAAAAAAAAAAAAAGTAGCGCAACATATTTCTATACCAACTGACATCTGACAGGCTGAGAATGAGGAGCATTAATCACAACAGCATACAACTCAAATGGAACTGCACAAATCAATAGCAGAGGTATGTCAACAGGAAAATCAGCATCATGCATCATGCCATAAAAAAAAAAAATATATATATATATTTTTTTTTCCAAGCAAGGACATGGAGGTTTATCGGGTTTGATGAAAAGGTGGGTTGAGCTAAACACATGCAGTTAAGAAAAGCTGTCAGAGCCAATATGCCCCGCTCACATATTCAATCCTCACAAGAAGACAAAGACGGATTCAGCATGTTAAGTTAAACATTATGAAAAAACGTCAATCACGAGTGTTTCAGCGCAGTTCTGCAACATGATTCGTGAAGACATCAAGTCTTCACTGTCTATAAAGAGCCTAAAACTGAAGCGGTGCTGAGTCGAAGTAGAACTATATCCTCCAGAATATCATGTTGTTCTGGATCGGAGTTACTAAAAAAATTTATCTGACATATTTTATATTGATTTATTGCCCAGTCTGAGTCTAAACTGAAAATTTTTTGGAGGTCAAGGAAGAGGCAGCATCGGTAATAAGAGGATGGACCCAGTGCTTCTTAATCAATCCATATCTGTGTTAGAACGGCAAAGTCAAAATCTAGACCTAAACCTTTTAGAGAATCAGTGGCAACACTTGAAAATGCAGGTGTCAAAAGTATTCATGTTTATTACCAAGTAGAAGTATAAATCCTACAGTTTAAAAACACTTTTGTAGAAGTTAGAATATCAACTTAAGCTTTTTACTCAAGTAAAAATGTAAAAGTAACATTTTTAAAACTATTTAAAGTAAAAAGTAAAAGTAATGCAGGAAAAAATTTAAAGAACAGATGCTTTACTGGAATTCTGGATAGTTTTCTTAGACTTGATTTTCTTAGTTTTATAACTAATGGTGGCAGTGTCAAATTTAACTTTGCATCATTTTGAAAAACAATTTATTTTGGTAGGTGGCAAACAACAAGTTGGAGCAGCACTGAGTCCAACCCAAAAGAAAATAATTGTCTAGATGAAACAAAACTAACGAGTCTAGTTTTACAAACGAAAGGAGTAGAAAGTAGAGATAATTGCAAAAAATGTAAGGAGTAGTAAAACTTGTCTGAAAAATAAATATTCCAGTAAAGTATAAATAGCCACGAATTCTACTGAATGTAACAAAGTATTTGTACTTTGTTACGTGACACCTCTGTGAAAATAGATATACAAAGATGCTTTGCTATCCAATGTTACTTTCCAAGTTTTGACTCAGCAGATTGAAAAAAATACATGCCACACTTGCCAGATTTTACATAATTTATCCAGATCATTTGTCTATTAAATAAAATAAAACTGTTATAAATTAAAATGGTGTTAAAAGTATTTTGTTCATCTAGTTTTGGACTATCTACGTGTTGCAACTGGAGCCTTCAATGTTTTTTCTGTTTATTTTGCTAAGTGAAAGAGGCCTTTGAGGCCTGATAATCCCTCAATGAAAGCAGCAGAGTTTCTAGAAGCAGCTATAAATAACAGCGTCAGCTCAGGGCCATGTTTTTAAACAGAGCTGTGAGAGATGAGCTTGTGACAACGCTTATTACTGACTGCGTAAACACAGTGGTGGTTTCCCTACAGTCAGCTGATCAAATTTGTCTTTTTAAAAGCTTCTGGATTCTTTCCAGTAAAATAAAGTCAATAATTGTTTACAAGCTTTACCAAGTAAGTTGGTGCCTACCTCTGTGCTAGTTGGCACATTGCTGTGATTTTTGTCCAGAACCATAAACCTGAAGAGCATGGAGTAGGATGGGAAACGCCATGTTGGCCAGGGGTTGGTCCAGCGCCCATGTTTGTCCCGACAGGACTTTGTCACCTCCTCCTGCATTCAAAATAAACACACCTGAACATTACATTTATTTCCACTCTGAAGGGACACGTCTGGAGATTGGAGCACACAGTAGGAGGAAGGTTGTTACCTCGAGTCGGTAGTCCAGGCGGAAACTCTTACGGGAGGAGCTTCTCTTCCTCAGTGTCCGGGGATCCACCTTTCCACCTTCAGCACCTTGAGGCAATTCACCATCCTTAAAAATACAGAGAAATTTAAAGGGCATTACTTGTTGAGAATTTAGCACCAAACTCAAAGAGAAAATGTTATCTTTAATATGTTATATCCCCAGCTAACTCCTCCTTACAGAGTCAAATTCATTGCAATAAATAAAGTGTTGATCATTACCTCCACCAGGGCTGTGCCCTCATTGAGCTCTGCTCTGTCAGAAGAAGATGGCTTCTCCATGTTTCTACCAACAGCACACCTATCATTGCACACACACACAGGGACACGGTCAACTTAATCACAATCAGCGGGGTTGACAGTTCACCTGCCTTGTTCACAGGTGCAATACATAAAAAACAGGCTACACTTTGATGCCTCTGAGTCATTTGCTTCTGCTGGTGTGATAACATCCCACGGTTAAACTGTTAGAATTTGCATACACTTTATCGTCAACTATCAGGGTAGTGTTCAAATAAAGGCTGCCGTTAGAAGAAAATGTCCTGCTTCAAATTTCATTCAAATTCAGAAAACGACCTTTGTTAAGTCAACATTAGTCTCGATTGTATAATCAGCTATGTCGCCCAATTTGAGGCAGAAAATGATAAAGCAATTAGTGAATAGCTTTTACAGTTTGTATTCTTACTGAATGCAGAAAGAAATAGGCTGAGATGTAATTATATATATATATATATATATATATATATATATATATATATATATATATATA